TAGAAAAATGTCTGAGGAACATGATTGCTAAGATTTGTATAACACAAGTGCTTACAAATCTCCTAACGAGTTGCTTAACATGGCTGGGAAATACTGACATTAATCATGAATATACTGAACTATGATTCCTGAACCTGATTCGAGCATCTTAACTAAATCATAACTGTGGTTTTTCAGAGCATATACATAGTAATTTATTTATAATTTACAACATGAATCAGCACTTACTTGTAGTCGGCGAGGCATGAGCGTGACGTGTTCAGGTTTTTCAAAATTTTCTGACTCGTAAAAGTATTCAGAGACGCAAAAACGTGCTCTGATACCATCTGTGACACCCCACTTTTTCATGAAAATCAGAGTGTGTTTTTTGCAAAGTTTTTCAAAATAAAAACATTTAAGTTGCGAAATACTGATTCGGAGTGCTACCATAATACATGACTTTACCTGAAAAACCGTTAATTTAGTTTTTAAGGAAAAACAGTTTATCATAACATAGTAACCGACTAGAAATCGGAACAAAAGCTAAGTTTGGCAACTAGTCAAAAATCAGCAGAAAACATAGCGTAGCCAATACATTTTAAACATATAAACAAAATCCTGAACCGACCGTCAGCTCACTCCTCGGCTCCGACCCTGTGACCTGAAAAACATAAATAACGTGGGGCATGAGCACTAAATCCACTGTGCTCCATAGGAACTCATACTAAAGTAACAGTGAAAATAATAGCAATATCATGATCCTGGCATATACATAACTGAACTGAAACCGGTACTAAATAAGCATGAACTGATAATCATCAACTGACTGATACCTCATCTGTCAGCATAAAAATGTCGGACACCATGTGCACACTCTAGTGGGCAGATTAAGGCCACTAGAATCCAGAATGGACCGGCGACCATTCCAAGCGGATACTGACTGATAATACATACCTCAAACATGGTAGAGTAATTATAATCAATGTAATACCCAGTCTGAGTCCCCACCTGTACTGCTGGTCTGAAAATGTAAGTGCTGATCATCTGCAAAACTGTGACATATATAAACAAATACTAAATACTATGCTGAGACTTACTAAAATAGCTGGAAAAGATGCTCGACTGAACTGATGACATAACTGGACTTACTGACATGATCTAGGGCTCAACATAGACTGGCTGAATTTAAAACTGAACTTAACTGGCATGACTTACTGTCATTGAACTTAACTAATATTACTGAACTGAACTGGCTAGACTGATAACTTGACTGATTTCATGAACTGACTGACTGGACCTGGAACTTAACTGGAATATCTGACATAACTTGCATCAGATCAGAATAATACTAAAACATAGAAATAACCGGTCTAAACTGACTGGTTCACTGGTTGGCCGGACTGCCTGCTCGCTGGCTTGGGCCAACAGGCTCGGTCCCGTGCTGGGCCCGCTGATGCCCGGGCGCGGTCGCATGACTGGTGTTGGGCATGGCCTGGCGCTGCCGGGCCTTACCGGGCACAACTGGGCATGATCGCACGCTCAGCTAGGCGCGGCTACACGCCGTTGGGCGCTGCTGGCATGGCTGGGCACGGTCAGGCACAACGGTGCATGCTGGCGTGCTACTGGGCACGGCCGGCTTTGCTTGGTCATGACTGGCACTATCGGACGTTAGCCCGTGAACCACTGGACTCATGACATGGCTACTGGACTCATGGCTTGACAATAAGGCATTGTCGGGCGCTGTGGGCACCGCCACTTGCGCGTACTGGCACTGCAGGCGCTGCTGGGCGCCACGGGCAGGTGACTGGGCACACTAGCTACGTTGCTCGTGCATGCAAGTGCGACTGGGTACTCGGACGTACTGTCGGGCATTGAGCGAGGCCTACTGGACAGGCTGGTGCATTGCCGGGCGCGCACTGGCGTGTTGGGCGCTGCCGACGCTCGCTGTGCACTGCGCGGTATATGCTCGTGGGCTGACTGCGTGACTGGCGTGCGCTGGGTGCGCCTACGCGCCTGTCCGCTGGCGGCACGCTACTGGCTGCTGGGCACGGGCTATGCGCGATGCACTGCTGGGCGTGCGCGCTGCTGCGTGCTCGCAAGCTACTGCCGGCTGGCTCTGTCTCGCTACGTGCGTACAGCCCTACGGTCGGCACCTCGCCGACCGTCCGGCGAAATTTTCCGGCAACGACGACATGGTTGATCATAACATGACATGAAATAACTAAATATGCTTAAATTGCTCGGGAGTGTTCGGTTAAATTTTGACATGACTCGGAAAGGGCTTATATAGCACCTCCGAGTACATTAGGGCACTAAACTTGGATCGCATGACCTGATTTCTACATGATCTTTCTTACATGAACATAAAATAATTAAAAGAAGAGTGTTATGAATTTACCTTTCCGATTGCTCGAGGAAAGGTACTAAGGCCAGTGACCGCATGCAAGGCTCACGTGTGCTCGACTTCTCGGCGATGGCCAGCTGGTGCTACTCCTTACTGAATAAATTTGCTTAAATATGGTCTTGACACTCTCCAAATGCTCCATGAAGCCAAATAGGTGTTGGAGAATTCGGCTAATAATATAAGGTAAAGCTTGATGGTTTACTAGATTTAATAAGGTACAAGCTAATCAATTTCCTTTCTCACTTTTGCTCTCGACACTAGCTCTTCCTAAGGCTAAGAGTGGAATGATATAAAACATTTTATGTAATCTCTCGATGAAAACTCCTCTATATCCGAACCACTCCCTATTTGTAAGAAAATTAAGATGTACATATAGCATGAGATGTTAAATAATAGAAACACGTGGCTTGAAATGGTGATTTGGTGGCATATACTATTGCCTAGTCACCAACCTAATGTGTTATAATAATAGGAATTCTACCAATGCCTACCCTGACATATAAACTTAATTAAAAACTCGATAATATGGCTTATTAAAACAAAGTAATTCTAGCACATGAAATGCACAACTTAGGTGCGTAAATTGATACCTATGCACGGTGCTTGAATTATGAACAAGAACAACTTCTATTCTTCATTATTATTTAACTTATGCTTGGAATACTCACATAAATTCCAAAATAAACATAAGCATAAACTCGGCTAACTTGTCCGATTTCGGTCCCGATTCGACTTCGTCGATTAATTGTAATATTTTTACAACATCAACATACCCAGTATTCCCAACAGGTTGGGGTCTGGGGGGTCAGTTGTACGCAGACCTTACCCTTGTAATTATACAAGGAGGTTGTTTCCATAACGACCCAAGGTGCGTTGCGTCGTTTGATATATTTTTTTTCTAGAAACTTCACTAATAGAAGAAACACTAGAATTTAATTGAGCCATTTTGATCTAGTCCATTATTAGCACTATGCCAGGAGAATTGTCAACAATGACTCTTCCAACTCCATATGCAATGGACATAGATTAATTCTAATATCTTTACTTTGAATAATACGTCGACTTAAAATAATTAATCCCGACTAATAATATTCGTTTATAAAAATAAATGTATCGGAAATTAATTATCGAAACTGATTCGGTTACTGAATATTAATTAAACCGAATCGACTATCGACTTAAAGTCGAACTTATATCTGAATAACTTACTAACTGGGTTCGAAACTCATATTTGACGATTTATCGAATATTCTCAAATTCGATTAATACGTCAATAGTGGAATAATTAATCTCGAACTTACTATGTCCATTTATTTCATAAACGGACTGAGATTAATTACTAGAATTGACTCGGTTAATAAATAAAATTAACCGAATATATTTTCGACTTAACGTCGAACTTGGAATTCAACTGACTGGATAACTTAGACTTGAACATTAACATGAATATTTATTAACAAAGGCTAGTTTATAATTAAAAGCTAGTATTTTCCTTTAGTAATAAAATTCGGGGTTGTTACAGATTTGATTAAATATATTATTATTTATGGTTGCAAGTATTAATTTAATTAATTATATTTACTATTAAGATGTACTTAACATATTTAATAAAAGAATCGGAAAAACAATGTTTAATCATACTAACTTAATAAATATTTAAAATATTAATAAAAAAATTATGAAATGTAATCAATTTAACTATAAAAATGTACATCCCCATTGAATATACCATTTGCAGTTATAATACTATTGAATATTTAAATAATATACTAATAAAAATAAAATTTCATGGTCGGGTGCAATTCACCTATCATGTTTAGTCAAAGGCCCTGAGTGCGTGATTATTCACAAACGGTAGGCAAATTTACGATCCCTCATCATTGGTGCTCTCGTTGAGAGTGTCTTCGAAACCATAAAAGTTCAGTTTTATCGAACCGAATCGATAAGGAATTAAAAAAAAAAAAAAAAAACAAACTTAATTTTAATAGTTAATAACTTAAATACTTAATACTAAATTACTAATAAGTAATTAGTAATAAAATTTATAAGACTATGATAAACGACAATTTTATAAGTATGTAATTTATAAGACTATGATAAACGACAATTTTATAAGTACATACAAATAATATGTATGCAACTATCGTGTAATCTTATACATTTATAATATTTTATTAAACTTATAAATAATTAAATTTATTTAAATAGTCAAAAGTACAAAAAAAAAATATATATATATATATATATAAATAGAAAATAACAATAATGGTAAATAAATAAATGTCATATTATTACTGAATAGAATATTGTGGTGAATATAATTTCATATTGTCTTTAATAATTTTATAACATTTAAATAAAAAAATATTTTTTGTAATGTACTCGTGTATCGCGCGGGTATCAACACTAGGAACTTCCAAAATAGATTGGAATATGTAGTGAATTACCACAGCCGTCCTACATAAAACAAAAGACATCGTTTGCCCTCCTAATTAAATGCTCATGTACAGAAGATTCACATCAACCTAATAATACACACAGCTACCTATACATGCATTCCTATTCTCTTCAAATGTCGTGCTCCAAAACTACATGACTAGTCAATTTATATATATCTTCACTCCTTTTTTCCCTTTATGTACCCTTCATGTTTCAAGAACCAAAGCGCCCCTTTTGCTGCATGCTCAGCCGCATCCTTCTTCCTCATTCGAGGCTCTCCATAGAACTCGAATAAATGGTTTGGTATTTCTTCTATTTCCAACATGATCTTGAAAACAAATCTGCAAAAACCATAAACATTTTGGTATTGAGTTACCGTCTTGAGTCGTGAGGTTGAAAAAAGACTACTCCAAAGCTAAAATCTTTATAAAGCATGTATCAGTGCTACATTGCAGTATTTACAAATCCATTAAATACACCAAACACCTAAAACAAACTAACAAAGTGCAGAGTATAATATTAAAATTAAGAACAAACAACGAGATGAAAAGCTGAAGTTGATTTGTGGACCATGTTAAAACAAATCACTTGAAACACGTGAAGAGCAAATTCGTGGTACCAAAATGGCCATTCACTTATATATGGACTTCCAAATACAACGCAAAGGAGGGGAGTACTTACTCTTTCAAGTGGCTCGGTCCACTCTCCACGCAGCATTCAAAAGTGGGTGGTTTCCAGCAGTTAGCGGCACATATTTCATATAAACGCGATTTTGCCGATATAAAGCCGGGATTACCTAACATATAATCATATGAGAACACAAAAACAAAAGAGAAAAAGGAGAAAAATAAAATAAAATAAAATAAAGAAAGCTCTTTAAATAAAGTCTCAGGTTGCTACCTGTTGTTCCATTTGGAATGTGATTACTATCATTATTTGGGTGGACAGCAGGTGAATTAATTTTGCAATCCTTAATTCGAAGGGGCTGTTTAGCACGAAATCCTGAAGACTCGGCTAGAAAAGGACACTCCATTATTTTAGTGGAAATCATTCGAGATTTACTTGCAGTGTGTATCTCATTAAGAGGATACACTTTTGCATCACAATCGTTTCGAGGTTTTCCAAGCACTTTCAGCGCACCAGAATGAGCAGTTTCTTTGGATGATGTCTCATCATATCCAATTAATTTCGCTATCCTCTTTTCACTCTTTTCAAGCACTTCCTCCAATGATGGTGATTTGGACTTGTAACCTTGTGCCTGCATAATCAGATTCAATGGAAAAGAGAGCCAAGTTTTAACGAGCCATGCAAATGGAAATGCTCACTTATACTGCTCAGACAGAATAACAATTAGGTTACCTTGAAGTTAGAAATAGTATTGAGGATTTTGTAATCGAAGATCAATTTATATCTAGTTATATCTGATTGCTTTAGGATACATCATCCTAGGTGGAGTATAAGTCCAATACTCCAATTTTACCTCTTATTTGGGTATTCAGACATAGGTACGTGAAATACTCAGCCTTAACATAACAAAAGCTTCTTTACGAAGCAAATTCCATTATACAAGAGGGGCAGACTAAAAAAATAGTGATGACTAATATGCACATTATAGTAAACCATAGAGTTCACCTTCAAAGTTCCCAACAGATGCCTTGCCACCATTCTTTTAGCAACTTTGCTGCTGTAGTTGGTAGCTGAAGCCACTGCTGAAACATTTTCCTCATCGACTTTACCTTCAACTTTGAACTTGCCATCTCTCTTTAATGAAGAAAGCTTCACCTCCCAATTATAGGATTGGCAAAGTTCGCGAAGTTCCCTAAGCGGATTAAAATGCAGCTTTGAGAAACTAATAATAGGATCCATAAGGAACAGCATTATTTTCCAGACAAGCTTCAAATCAAATCCAGAGTCAAGATATACGGCGCCCATACAAGACTCCACTATGTCACCAAGTGCCTGAAGCATTAACATTGGATTACAACATCAGCTTCTGTTGATTCTATTAGTAAAAAAATACGTACCAAAATTTGCATAAACAATTGGCAAATATCATTTTAATGATGAAAGGTAACAAGATATGCAACTATTAGAATGAATTTCGATTATATTTTTGTGTGATCATACTGATGATAGCTTTGGGTTTTTTTTTTTTTTTTCCCGATTTCCACATCAGTCCACTATTAGGCCTACAAAAGCTAAGGACTTCATTCAACCATTTTATATTCTTCAACATATAACAAACTCACAAAAGAGGTAAATCGGACACAAATGTTAAGTAGACTGACAATGCAAAGCTTAGCAACTTGGCAAAATCATTCAATCGGAGAACATAGAAAAAATCTCCCTTTCAAGCAACCGATGTCGTAAGAATAAAGAATATGCTATAGGAAAGAGAGTCAAATAACCTTTGGACAAATTATCTCATCGATATGCCTTTTCAGTGGTTCTGAGTTTCCAAGGCTGCTCACATATGAAGTCATTGTTTCCCGGAGAACATCAGAATCGCAAATAATAAACTTGTGAAAGGACCTTCGTCCAGCCACATCAGCAAATGAAATGTTGTTAACGGCTACTGATCTCAAATCCGTCAAATGGCCAGGTCTTAACTTTGGGTACACCGAAAACATATAGGACGTGATCAAGTAATCTAACACAGCATCTCCAAGAAATTCAAGTCTCTGGCTCAAACAAATCAATATATGTATATAACATCAGAGACGGGAAATTTTAATAATTATCTAATTCAGAGCAGAGGGTCCATATGCACACACCTGGTAACATCCTCCCATATGATTGTTGAAAGATGGATGAACAAAGGCCTGAATGAGCAATCCTTTATGGGAAAACTTGTAACCCAGCACAGTCTCAAGGGCACTAACATTAATCTGATCAGAAAGCGGCAAAAACGCGTCGCTGGCAGAGCATATATGCTGAATTTGAGAACTAGTAATATCAACTTTTATGTTGATCCAATTAAGAAATGAAATTGCTGCTCTGAAGCCGCTATCAACTATAAAAGCTCCAATAAGTGCCTCAACAACATCTGCAATGGTCTTTTTGAATAACCAGTGATGACATTTGTTGCATCTAATTTCTCCATTTGCTCCATTCCTATTGTTATCATGTCGAGAATGAATTCTTTCCTCATTCTCGTTATTGCAACTAAAAGGACAACGGCGGCCAAAAGCAAAGAATTGATCGGCCTCAAATGACTGATCGCGAATATATACCTGAATTATATAATATAAACTTTTTTGCATGATACATTTCAGCATAAGAGCAATCAAGAACATAGCAGGCTAAAGTCTAGTGTTTTCGACATATCTGAATTTCAACAGCCTGCCCTGACTATATTTCATAACATTTAAAATCTGAAACTCTTTTGACAAACCAAGTTAATGATATGACTGCATATAAATCATGAGAACCCTCTTTGAAATAAGCATACGGAACCAAATGACAGACAAGGTCCGCCAAATATTAGCTTGTAATGAGATGGGGGTCTATTAGTAAACATTAATGTCTTACAAGAGTACGGTAACATTGCAAGAAATTATTATAAGAATATACTAATTTCAAACATTAGGCACAGTTGATGGATATAAAATTTACTAACATTAATGTCTTACATAGAGTAAGGCAAAATTACAAGAAATTATATAAGAATATACTAAATTCAAACATAAGGCACCGTTAATGGACGATATAAAATTTAGTGTTAATCCTCCAAGCCTCAGCACCACTACATGGGATTATATCATTTGCTAAATAGTTGTATCAACAGACTGTCCACCTCCACCACCACTATTTGAGGAGGTGATCTGATTTGCCAAACTGTTGTGTCAGCACTGTCCCCCCACCCGCCGTAACTTTGTACATAGTTATGTTATCAAATTGTTGAGAATTGTTACCAGCATCAACAAAAGCAACATATTTGAATCATTTCAAAAAGCTTCCACCGTAGTGACCATAATCTTCACATATTTCTTGTCTTTAACTTTCATAGCATATGGTCTGTGGTTTCTTCAGTTGTCAGGCTTTCACAGATTTACATGAAAATGATTATACGCGTTATTTCTACCGGCCATTGTTCTTGACAGTATCCTTAATCAGAATACTACAGCAAAGGTGTGTTACAGGTTAACCCATATAATGTCCCAGTATAGGCTCACAACCATGTATAGGAATCTAAATAAACCTAATCATTAACTTTTGTACACACACTACAGTCATAGAGGTGAACTCACATGGTACATATTAGAAAGATATGTCAAAACACTCCCAAAGTCCGAAGTAGAATCCTCTTGCTATTATTGCTGGACATTTACAAATGGTTCATTTCCTAAACAACTACTTTTAACTCTTTTCACACAAAAAAAAAAAAAAAAACTCTTTTCTAAGAGAACTTCTCATTTACAATAATGACATGACACAACTATTTCATCAGGCGCACAACTGCGTCGCTGTCCAAATTTTCATCTTTCACCGTTCAACTTAACTTCCATTTTCAACTCAAAAGAAAAATATTTAATTTCGACAGGGGGTGTAAAGTAATTTCACAAGAATCAAGGTAATTATACACTAGTTACATCCTACTCAACGAGATATTAAGTAATGAGTAATGACATCAATTAAGTATAAAGGATTTTAATAACCTCAAAATATTATGAAACATAGGTTAAAATCAATCACCTGTAAATTGCTCCTTGTCGCCAATTTGACCAAATTTGAATTGTTGACAATGTTGGAACGCTTATTAGTTAACTGCCCCTCATCTAAAGCATCATGCTTAAGGAAAAGATGCCTACCAACTGCAAATTTGAGAAATGCATCTCCAAGCACTTCAAGCCTTTCAAGCGAAAAGTGTTCGCCGCATCTTTCTGTGGTAAGTGCTTCAAGAATCTAACCAAATTTAAAAATGGATGATTATCACACTACAAGGTCTAATGGAGGACGATAAAAGAAGAACCATTCCCCTTAACAAGGAGGGACTGGAAGTGGAAACACTAGAAGTGAAAAGATAAAAACTTACACGTTCAGCAGTAACTTCAGCTCCCTCACAGAATGAAGCAACAAATTTGTCCTTCAGTTCAATGGCCACGAGAAAGCTTTCAAGCCTATGCATGATTGATGGTAACAGAGATAATGAACTTCCAATATCTTTCGAGAAGCCAATGACTTTCAACTGGCAAATCTCAGGAGGTAATTCAATGAAGTGTTCCTCTTTTTCTCGCCATTCTTCTGAATAATCAACAAGTAGATCGTCCAACATGTCCATTATGTAGATGATATAGGGAAAAATCTTTCAAGCTTATTAAAGAAAGCAAATACTATATACATGCAGTGAAGACAGTTAAAAATGCCATGAAACAGGAAAAAAGTGGATTCCTAAGAAATATGGCAGTTCTATACTGTTTACCAATGCTTTAACACATTGCTTTAGTTATCTCTTCAAGGTGTCCATATCAGGAAAGGTTCCCTATCCTTCTACGCATTCTCTAGCATGCGTAACTATGATGGAAATAACGACACTGAAACAGGAATTCAACTTGCTCAGCATAGTACACCAAATAATTCGGCACGTACTGGGGAATTAACGCCACGAATCCTTAACTATTCTTTCCTCATGTTTTCATGGTCAAGATAGCTCTTCAATTACAAGTTGCATCTTCAAATAAAACTAATTTCACAATATTTTCATGATTAAAAGTGAAAATGATTCAAAGTCCCACCACCAACCCAAAAATGTGAGCACCCTCTACTTATCTACTTATCTTTAGGAAAATACTATTTTTTCCAGAATAATCTCGAACTTTTCGAAAACAACTTCAACTTTAAAAACTTTCTTAGGGTACTTACGTAAAACTCTTTCTTTCTTTCATTTCTTTTGAACTTAACCTAAGCTTCACACTTAGGTTCTTTTAGAAAGTCACTTCCCAAGACTTATAACTTAAGCTTCTTAAATCAATACATCATAAAATATTCAAAAAGTACTTAGTCTTGATATACTTCCCAAATAAGGATATGTCAGACATATTTCATTGTGAATTGGTATCTATTGATATGCTTTAAATAGGTACTGTGAAGTATCTTTAAAGTCCCATTAGATTTATATAACAATTAAACAATTTCCATTTATCAAGCCATGATTGCATTTCAGCATTCTTTACACACAAGATACGTCACCTAATTTCATCATTTGATACACAAGTCAATGGCATGGGCTACAAATTCCTACTGAAAGTGAAAAATAATGGGGTACATGCTTGGATTAAGAAAAAATCAACATGTCAGGAGGAACACAGACAAAACACAATTAATTTCTCTCAAGACATGAAAAATCAACTACTACTTTATCACCTTATACGGCTAATCTTTGGAATTCAAAAATATGTTCGACAAAAAACCGGTTTGCTAGGATTAAAAAGGAAAATCAACATGTGCTGAACGAACTACAGAGAAATCAAGTAATTCATTTATCACCTAATACAGCTCAACTTCTGAATTGAAACAGCCAAAAGTTCATAAAAAGCTCAACAAATTTATTAAATCCCCCCAAGGGAGGATCTATGGATGATGCACTCAATCACATTGAGAAGATGTTGAAACTGAGAACATAAGTATTTTCAGGAGTACCAGGTCTAACAGGCATAAACAAAAGTTTTACCTGAGTGTTTTCTCTTCCGCAGTAAGTTGTCCAAAACAAAAAGTTGTTTGGCTTTCAAAAGGGGTTGATCAGGGTATGCCAGATGAACATTAAACCTATTAGTATAATGTCATCAATCACTGACAAGAAAATGAAAATACAGCTGGAGAAAATGTACGCATAGATCATATAACAGGTACAAACTAGGGTTTCGGGACAGAACATGGAAAAGAATCACAATCTGATCCAGTAAAACTGACAAATATTATCTAAAAGTCAAACTGAAGAATGCACCAGAATTGGATAAAACTTAAATGACTTCTTCCTAGTTGGTCAAAGATAATTACATGGAAATGTTGAACTCTAAGTTTGAGGAGATAACTGCGTATTTGGAGAGAACTGCATGCTTGTAGCTAAAAGTATATGTAGGAAAAAGGAAATCGTTTCCTAGATATTCAAACTATCCTTATGAAGATTCATAAATATAAACTTGAACATATTTGACACATAAGAGCAACATTTATGTAGAAGAATGAGGAAAAACTAATTAAAGAATCACAACAGGAACAACAAAGAAATAACTTACGCTTCAGCGTAGTGCTCCACATGACTTTTTGAATCATTATATAAGCTATGCCCACTTTTGTCTCGAACTATATCACAAATAAAGAAAAATGTATCTTTGCAGGGTACATACACCAAACTGTTCTCAACATCATCTATATTTTCACGACCATTGGCTAGATGCAAATGATAGTTAAGCTGCAGAGTTTCACTAGCCAAAGTAGGACTTGGGTTCCGAAAAATGGGAGATGACAAACATCTCCTGACTAGTGTCCAATCTACAGAGATTTTGTCATGTTCATGCAGAATAACTGGAAGTAAGAGGTAGAAGGTCGATGAGCTTGACTCGTACACATCATTATTCTCAAGTACAACATATTCCTGTGTAAGTTTATGTCGATCAACAATAATTTTGAGAAAGAGTTCCTGGAACATTTCGGCTGCGGCAATCTGTGTAAACAAAACCAGCTTCAGAAGCACACTACCAAGTATCATGCTGAACAAATTGAATGAAAAAACGAAAAAAATACCTCATCCTTATCAAACATAGCAATGCCAGATGAAATTAGTTGTGTCATCACCATTCTACCACGAGCCAAACAAAGATCCACTTTCATTTTTGCAGCCTCTTCTGGGAGTGGTTCCTTCACGAAAAGACCAAACCTTCTGTATGTCCTATCAGCTGGATTTGGACAAAACTTGACGAAGTAAGAACTAAAACTAGTGGACTCTCCCTCTTTTGTCCAAGGTTTCCTAAGAGCAGAAGGAACAAGCATCTTATATAGTACAGCTCGTGAGTCCTCCTCTGCCAGAAGTGCAAAAGCAAATTATAAAGCCTTTCAATTTGTATACAGGATGTGAACTTTGTACAAATGACACTCTCACCATTCATGTCATCGGAATCATATGAATCCACAGTTTGTTCCTCATACTTCTCATCTTGCTCTGGCAATAGATAATCAGTCAATGCTCCAATTTCATGTAATGCCTTGCATGCTTTAAGACAGGCATCTTTTTTAGCTGCCTCTGTTGATGGTTGTGGTGTGCTGGCAATTTGATGAATTGGAGCATTGGCTGGAAGAATTATGTTGCAGACCATTCCATCTGCATCATCATAGTAGAAGAACTGGGGCTTTGGATTGAAATACCTAATACAGTATAGTACGAGATCAGTTCACTATGGAACCAGAATGAACAGTATTGGTGAGTAATCAACAATAGAACAACATCATACTCATCATGTGGAAGTTTTGAGCAATAGCGATGCAGCAATGAGATACTCAATACTGAACTAATAGTTGCCCCAGTAGCATCCACTTTATAGGTTTTCTCCTCAAAATAAGATATCGGCACATGGGAAGTTCTGAAATAAATTTCTTCATTCATTTGGGCTTCGTCTTTTTTAAAATGTTCAATCAAACTGAGTTCCCTTGGATTGTCTCTGCAATGTTTATGACGTCAAATATTAATTCTGTTAAAAAGCATAATAGATGAAAATCCACAAGCAAACACGAAACAGAAGCACCTGTCCACCAGAAACGCATATTCAGACTGGAGCATACGGGCACGGCCTCTAGATTGAATGAAACTTGCAACTGTTTCTGGAAGATCAAACCGTATTACAAGGCAACATGTCTGAATATCAAGTCCCTCTTCACCCACTTTTGTTGCAACTAACAGATTAAGCTGCCCAAGTAATTTGATCACAGAAATTAGAAGGTTTGAATATGTTTGACAAATTCCTACATAATTCTTACTGAGAAACAATTACATCACACCGCAAAATATCACAGTTTCATCAGAATTGTTCCCGGGATGAAAATGGAAGAGATGGAAAAAGGAAACATGTAAAAATTAGGACTCATTACCTCACCGGAACGGAACTTTCCAAGGATGATGTCTGTATTTTTACGTGACATAAGTCCAGAATGAACTCCCACGAGGAATCCACACTTCCAACACGATAAAAACTTCAGATTTCGAAGTATATATGAGAGTGATCTTGCAGTAACAATCCTATTTACAAAAACTATGCATTTCATATTAGGCTGGCCCCTGTAAATGAAATGGCGAAAAAAAAAAAAAAAGAGAGTGTTATGATTGATAAACATTGCTGTTCACATAGATTAACAATGGCTTACATAAATCTCCATAAGAGATGCGCCTTTTTGAATATTAAACACAGATTGAATGATATGAAAATGAAATGCTAAACTGGCAATTAATGAACAATGCAGAGAGGAGAAATATTGATCGGCTACGCTCAATCAGACAAAGGTTTTATTTTATTTTACGTTTTTCATTTTTTGCTCTTTTTTTTTGGCATTAGAACTGCAATAATGATCTGTGCAGAATCTTTGAATTTATCCAGACGCAATGCTCCAAATTCATGCAAATGATGATCAAAGCCTATAGGAAGCATGAAACGGCACTGAACCCACAAGGGCAAGAAATGGTTTGTCTAATGGTTGCATATAGATTCTTTATTCTTTAGAAAATTTAAAGGTGTCAATAGGTTCTTTTTGTTCTACGGAGGATGGGGCATCGCAGCTCACTTTTTTTGAACTATAATGTCCTAGTTACAGCGTTAATCACTCCATGACCTCCATGATCAGATATCAGGGGTTATGATTCCAGAATGCTCCTTCAAGGTGCAGAGACAAACTTATGCAGATAGCACTGTCTTAATTTCCATTATTTTTAGTGCTAGTCAATGATGATACCATTTAGGCCATCCCAAGGTCTCAAGCGCAATGCATATGTACCTCAATTGTGCAAGCTTAGGTTTTGCCAACTTTATGCTGTTAAGTATATCAAGGCCCACACTTATAATATCAAGGCCCAGGATTATAAGGCCCAGGAATAACTCTATATATATGGTCATTCATATCAAAGGAAGTAATCAACTCAGAAAACTAGGTTTGTAACATGGAATCAGACCAAAACAAATAGGATTTAATTTTCTTTTCCTTCAAATCTCACTTCCCACACCAGTCATCTCGCTTCCCCATTATTCACTCCCCGGCCAAATCTCGACGGAAAATACCACATGTGTGGGTCACACGAGCCGGCAAAGCTCGCTGTCGAGCATCTCAAGCACCAGCGTGTGAGCACGTGACTCCCTAGAATTTTTCCGGCGACCTTTTGTGGGCTTGGAATTTTGAGAACTTGCTGCTAGTGCTCTCAGTTTCCTGTTTTCGAGGTTTTTTGGTGTCCGTTTTGGCATTTTTCAGACCAGCCACTTGTTGGGGGTAGGGTTTGTTTATTCCAATTGATCCTAACACTACTCAGTTCATGTTTTTTTGTTGTCACTCGTCAGTATTGTGATCTTACGTTTTCTGTCGCAGCACTTCACTCATACATTGTTGTTCGCGTATCGTTCGCCCATCGCAAAGATATTTTGTCGTCGGTCGTCGAATCATATCGCAAATCAATGCTTTGCGACATGTAATTGTTATCAATATCATTCTCGAATCATCCGGAGTGGGCTTTTTATGTGGAACAGTATTGAGGGGTTATGGTGTAACAGCCCAGTCAACCCGTAGTAGGATATTGTCCGCTTGGGTATACACTAGATCATTCCCTCACGGTTTTGCCTTTGGGAGCTAGCTCACCAAAACGCGTCTTACTAGTGAAGGTATCCACAGCCACTTATAAGGCATGCTTCGTTCCCCTTCACAACCGATGTGGGATATCTGATCCACCTCCCCTGGAGGGCCCAGCGTCCTCGCTGGCACATCGATCCGGGTACTGGCTCTGATACCACTGCAACAACCCAGTCAACCCGTAATAGGATATTGTCCGCTTTGGGTATACATTAGATCATTCCCTCACGGTTTTGCCTTTGGGAGCTTGCTCACCAAAACGCGTCTTACTAGTGAAGGTATCCACAGCCACTTATAAGGCATGTTTCGTTCCCCTTCACAACCATTCAGATATCCCACATCGATCGTGAAGGAGAACGAAGCATGCCTTATAAGTGGTTGTGGATCCCTTCACTAGTAGGACGCGTTTTGGTGAGCTAGCTCCCAAAGGAAAAACCGTGAGGGGATGATCTGGTGTATACCCAAAGCGGACAATATCCTACTACGGGTTGACTGGGCTGTTACAGTGTATCAGAGCCCAGTACCCGGATCGATGTGCCAGCGAGGACGTTGGGCCCTCCAAGGGGGGTGGATTCAGATATCCCACATCGGTCGTGAAGGAGAACGAAGCATGTCTTATAAGTGGTTGTGGATACCTTTACTAGTAGGACGCGTTTTGGTGAGCTAGCTCCCAAAGGCAAAACCGTGAGGGAATGATCTGGTGTATACCCAAAGCGGACAATATCTTACTACGGGTTGACTGGGCTGTTACATATGGTCTAGCCTTCCACTTGACCAATGATGGACCCGAACAAAGGTCGATAATAGTAATGTTGCTGACTTCAGGATATGGCAAATTATTGACTGGAAAGTGATGGTTGTCATCGGTCAATAGTGTCCAGCAGTCCATGATTATGAGTCTTTCCTATTTTCAAACAGCCAATGTTGTGATCCTATTGCAACAACGCTTCATTCAAGATAGTGGTGCACTCTTGCACACACTTATAAAGAATACTTTGTATTTGACATTGTCCTCATAATGACCACAAAGTATAGAAACATTATTTTTCAAAATAACATATAAAAAAATAAATTGTGTTAGTATAAGAGATTAATCGTTGAATGGTTTTTTTACAACCAAACTTATAATCTACTCAAATTCTTTGCTTAAAACAAGATTTAAACAATTTTATGAAATTGTATAATACTAAAGCTCAATCCATTTGCATTCAAGTTGAATGGGATACCACTTGAGCAACATAATTTAATTTTGATCATATGATTATCTACATATTAATTAAGAATATCTCGAGAAACATGATATGCATATATATGTTGAAAACTAATTATTTTTAACCAAGAAATTGTATCGTTATTATCATTATCCATTTATCTATTTATGTATTACTATAATAAAGCAGTGTTTTTCTTAAAAAATGTACGAAATAAAAAATTTATATATTTCATTATGATTATATATAATGTAATAAAGATATGAAATTAATTGATATACAATAAGACATGACCCAAATGTTCTATATTTAACTTTATGTATTTTTGAAAATCTAAGAATTATTTGTATGTATGTATATGTATATATATATTAAAAACAATGAAAGAACTATAAAGTAAAAAATAATATTAAATATGATAAATGATATTAAAAGTATAATTAACTTGTAACACTCACTTATAAATATAAAAAAAAAAAAGTAATAAATATAAAAGTTATAATTAATAAAATCAAAGATAAAACTTTTAAAACTTGTGTTAATCGATGTAAGCGAGTCGAACTTGCTATTTTTTAGTATTTATTAGTTCTATGTGTAAATTTTAAGTGATAGACAATAGTTATTTGTACTTTTATCAATGTAAGTTAGAACTTTTATTTTATTTTCTTAAAACAAACTTTATTCTTTCTAATTTTAAACAACTGTTATTTGTCATTAGTTTTTTTAATATAATATACAAATATTATATTATATTATATAAAAATTATTTTTTATTATTTATATAAAAATATTAAATTACATATATAAAATAACTACTTTTTATTATTTAATATTTAATATGTAACAAATGTAACTTAATTGATAAATTAATAAGTAATTTGAGATAAAAGAATGACTGATTTCTAAAAAAAATATGTACGGACTAAAATGTTCATGTGTTTACTATATTTTCAATAGAAAATTTTTAACAAAAATTACTACATAAAAATTTTAATGTTTAAGAAAGAATACAATAAAAAACATATTATATTACAATGAAAATCCAATGGTAAAGTATTCCACAAAAAATTCAAATGGATATTTCATTGGTATAGCTTTCATTGAAAAATGTCATTGGCTATTACAACATAAATCAAATTAAATTACATTGCAACTTTAGCGGATTTAGTTATTTCAATTACTATTATTTATTGTTTTGTGAATCTCTAATGGAATTTCTTTTTCTGACCATAATTCAACCCTTGGAAAAATTGTCAATTGAATTATAAAAGTTCAATGGAAATTCCATTGGCGGGTCCATAGTAATTTCATATTAGCGACACTATTTAGTTAATAGAAAAAGTACACCATCAAAATAAATGTTATTATAATTTAAATGTTATTATAATTTATAAATTATACTTTTCATAATTTATCATCTTTCTCATTTGTAATACATTTTTAACACATCAATACAATCACAGTAAGTTAAAAAATATTTAAGAAGAAAAGCATAAATTTTTCTCAATTCCACATAAGAAAATCACAAATATAACATATTTTTTAAAATTTTTATGAACAAAAATTTATGTTGTAGTTGACTCGACAATATAACTAATAAATTTATAAATTATAAATATTTGAGTATAATATTAATGAAAAAAGTGCAATTATATATAATATAAGATAAAGATATACAATTAATTGATTTATAATACGACCCAAAAAGTTTTATACTTAATTTTATGCATTTCTAACAAATCTAAATGTTTTACACACGACACACACACACACATCAATAAAATGAAGAAAATATTAAATCTCATAAATAGCATTAAAAGTATAATTAAGTCGTAACATTTACTAATAAAAATGAAAAAGAAAATAAATAAAATGTTATATTTAATGAGAATAAATAAAAACTTTTAAAACTTGTACTTCTCGATGTAAGTAGGTCGGGTTGTGCTTGTTAGTTTGTGCTTATTAATTATATGTGTAAGTTGTAGGAGATAAAAAATGGTTATGTGTCTTTATCCATGTAGATTAGAATTTAAAATAAATAAATAAACAAATAAAAACTTGATTGTTCTAATTTTTAACTTTTGGTATTATCCCTTTGGGATCGTGTCAATTCTCCTATTGGGAGCTTTGTTATAGTTTTTTTTAGTGTTTGACGTGTGTGTCGGGTCTTGAGTCTTGCCTTTGGTTCCTAGTGTTGCTAGTTGCGGTTCTAGACGGTCTTTTGACCTACTTTTTCAGCTTTTTCAGTTGTTGGTTGTATTATTCAGCTAGGGGCTATATTTTTGCACATTTGTGCGTTTGATTATAATATTCTCTATGGTTTAGGAAAAAAAAATTAAATTTTAGTTGCTATTCCTTTTTTTGAACATAATGTATAAATATCATATGACATATACGAAATACTAATTATTTTTATTATTTAATATTTAATGTGTAAGGACTATAACTCAATTGAAAAATTAATGGGTATTCTTGTGATAAATTAATGAGTGTTTTCTAAAAAATATATATGGACTAAAAAAATCATATTATATTTTTAATAAAAAAACTATAAATAGAGTTAATTAATAACGACTAATATACAAAAATTTTAGGTTGAGTTTGTTAAAAGAATAATTTGAGTGAATGAACTCAAAATGAATTTTTTGAGTTAACTAAGGTTAATTTAGAAAAAGGGGTGTAGTTATTTAGTGAGATTTTGAGTTTATACTAAAATAATATTGAAAATAAATTAATTAAAAATTGGTTTGATGTAAATAGGAAAGATATGATATGATGTGATAGTTAGTTAAAATTATGTGAGTGGATGAATAGTGAATTAAAATTGATATGATGTGTAAAAATGATTAGTTGTTATTGTTTAATGATTGGTCGTTATATTTAATTATATTGATAATATTGAGGATAGTGGGGTTGTGTTAAACTTGAGTTAAATTTTGAGTAGAATTAATTTGGTTGGGTATATTCTTTAACAAACACACCCTTAATGTTTAAGAAGAAATACTAATGCATCTATATTTAGGTCATTATTTAGTTATTTAGTGCTTTTATTCCACTAAAGACTATTTTTGTTGGGGTTGTAATATGTTATTTCATTCATTTTATATTAGGACATCATTATGTTATTTAATTAAAAAAATGCATTAGAAGCTTCTTTTTTTTCCTGACATTAGAAGCTTATTTGTTCTACATTTATTTTGTTCCTACAATGACATGTTTAATGAATTAACTAATTTATTTTACTAAACTTAATTGGCAAAAAGCATTGCATCGCAAGTGCACTTTACTAAGCTTCTTTTTTTTCCTGACATTAGAAGCTTATTTGTTCTACATTTATTTTGTTCCTACAATGATATGTTTAATGAATTAACTAATTTATTTTACTAAACTTAATTGGCAAAAAACATTCACCACTACGTGCATCGCAACTGCACTTTACTAGTGTATAAAAATGGTTGACTTGAAAACTTTTTATATCTACAATTTAACAGAATTTTTTTCTAAATTCAGAGCTCAGCAACTACATAGATATGAAAACTACAATGGGACCCTCATGGGAGGTTCCATCAGAACTATTCAGGTCAACATCAAGGGTGTAACATGGTAACAGTAAATACTCCCCTCCCCTTTACCCTTCATGTCAACTTCCACAGAAGCCAGCCAATAAGAAACAGTGTAAGTAATCTTCCTCTTACTATTAGTTCCTACTGGATGAGATTTTTGTGACCATGTTGTAAATCATATAATGTGTAGAACGGATTAAAATCATGCGGCAAGCGTAAGACATATATTGCGAGATTCCAACTGAACATAATTGTCAAGAAAAAACAAACCTAAAGCTGGAAAGAATTCCAATAAGCCGTAAAAGCTTTCTTGAAAAATAGGGCTCCTTCAAAACTTCTATGCAGGACATATCAGCTCCAATGCCGTCTATATGATTAAAGAGAAGAAACAATAAACATGAGAAAGAGATGGATGCATATCTCCAGAAACACAATTAAAAAGTATCTCATCACAAAGTGAAGCAACAACAAAACAAACACTCCTATTGAAGGAAATAACTTTCCAAATGAGAAAAAATGTACTTAATGCAAAGACATCTGGCTAAAGAAACTATCAACAAATAGAAGATGGAGTAGAAACCAACAGTAGCCATTTACTAACTACCTTCACCACAATTAGAAGCAAGGACTGAGGTAACATGATGCAAATAATTTTTGCATAGGTTGCCATCACTCGAACTCTCTTCTGCATCCGCCAGCTCAGTATTCTCATAATGATCACCCTTTAAACAGATGTTGCTGGCCTTTTAAGAAACCGGAATTCAGAAGTAAATTAGAAGTTCAATCCTTCCCATCAGAGACTTACACTAACATAAATAAAAGGAGAAAAGAACAAGGGACTTGCAATATTATTATGGAGCTCATCAGTATGTTTTACTAGTCACAAATTCCAGAGATACTTCCATTGAAGTGTATTATTATTGATTAATTAAATAAACGAGCAAGAAACATGATATGTATGGTTCATGAAAATTTAGGATATCTTCTAGTGGTCAGAACTCTTCAAATACAAACTTCCGTTCGATGCTCACTTCCAGAAAATAATCTCGCGGATATGAATTCTTGTATATGACTTCTGTTACAAGTTATATTTGTCTCACATCGATTAGGATGTTATTGTGTCTAACTGTGGGTTGGGCACCCTCTCCCTTTGAGCTAGCTTTTTGAGGATGAGGTCTACCCAAGCCCATTATCATGGTATCAGAGCCAGGTTTGTTTGTTTGGAGGCGATGGTGGGTTTTGGACCCGGCCCATTTGGTTTGGCACGCTACACGTGAGGGCGGGTGTTAGAAGTTATGTTTGTCCCACATCGATTTGTTACTGGGCTGTTATTGTGTATAAGTGTGGGACGAGCACCCACTCCCTTTGAGCTAGCTTTTAGGGATGAGTTCTACCCAGACCGTTAACCCAAGTTTTTAATTGGTGCACAACCATATCAGTCAACCAGTTGAATATAGAAAGAGACGACAGATGACTAAATCTATTTTTGTAGCACTGCGAGTCCTTACATATATTTACCAGCATATACTTCAGTTTTATGAGTGCAGACTCCAGACTATCAAGGTTTCATAGCACTATGGCAACATCATGTTCTTCCAATATAAGGTGAATAAGACAAACCACAGAAATTAAGGAAAAAATTCTGAGGCAAGACTATACACCGGAGAGTGAAGAAAAGGACAAAATATGTGAAAGGGAGATCTCTCACTGAGGCATAGTTCAATGCTTAATATATTACATACATATTCAATATCGTGAATGGTCTCAGAGGAGAAAGGACAACTAAATATTCTTAATCATTACCTGTAAAGCACCCCATAGTCCAAGGTTTTCTAAACAAAACATCAAATTACAATGCAGCTTTTGAAGCGACTTTTTGGTGTTTCTGACAGCACTCTGATCAACTGAGTTCATCCGAAGCGCCGAAATAGACTGTTACACCACAGAAATCATTGAAATGTTCATATCAATAAGTTTACTGACACAATTGAAATACAATACCTGGTGCTTTATCTCCTCAAGTTTCCTACTATAACTCATGAGCGGGGAAGAACAGCCATTTCCAGTTGAACTATAATAGTATATATTTACTTTTGGAGATGTAACAAATTTTTCAAGTTCATCCTTATCTTCAACGGAATAGACCTATCATAAAATTACAAAAGAAAAAGACAAAAGAATATTGAGAAAACATCTGTGAGAGGAGACCAGACACAAGGCAGAGAAGGAGAGCCAGCGGACGAACTTTTTGTCCACTAATAGACTGCTAAATCATCTTCTACACTACCAACATTAAAATTCAATGGGCTCACAAACTAAACAAAGCAGGTGTAGGTAAATATTATAAAACGCACCTTTGCTCGCAACAATGCCTCTAGACCATCAATCGAGCCACCTGAAAAGCATGAAAGCGTGTTACTGTAGCAGCAAGGAAATAAGAAAATAAGAACATAAATTTCTCAGTAAAAGAGTTTTTTTCGATTCATGGATGGAGATGCTATATATATTTACTTGTGCACATCTACATCCCCTCAGTCGAACTACTTGTTTAAAATAAGCACCACAATATTATTCCTGTAGGTCAATCCAATCAATGACCTGATAAAGCTAACTAGGATGTATGTTTCAATTTTACATAGCAAGGTACCTTGATTTGGAGTGTTGGGAGTAGACAATTCAAGAAAACATCAATTAGAAGTCCAAGTAAAGTATAAGAAGACATAAAAGTCAAACACAGAAATAAAATCACATTGGCTCAATATACTAACAAGATGATTAACTCCATATCCAAGAAAATACAGAATTATAAAAATGTTCACTGAGCTCATGATCCACATAGTGAAACCAGAAACTGACAACTTGAAATCAGTCATTACAGCTTGTCTTAAGATTTCTTTTCATGATACTGGATAACTGGAAGAAGTTTTAGATTCTATTAACTATGCCATGGTTCAAAGAAAAATTTTCACTTGAAATAGAAAACTAGAGATGTTGTTAGAGACCGATCTGCTGTGGTTTCATCATTCCAATGTTTTATGTTATCTAATTAAATAATTGGGCTTTAGACCTGTAAAGTTGGGATACCAATTAGAGTTATACAAGTGTTATGTTTCTATTTGTGTAGATTGTTGAACTGTTAGGTTATATTTTATTGAATAGGATTGGCGGCTTTAACCCACACCAGATTCTTTCTAAATGGTCGTTTTTTAAACAGGTGTGGATTTGTCATGAGCTGTTCAGTCATTTTTCCTAACGAATAAGATTTATTATATATATATATATATGTATATATATGTACTTTTTTTTTTTTGCTTTACTCTTGGGCCTTGACTCTCCGATTTCATATAAGAACATAGCTGCATTGGATTTTGACATCACAGAATAGCTTTGTATCACTTTTAATCAAACAACGATATAATTATAACACCGCATTAAGAGCTCTGTATTACCTTTTCCTAATTTTGGAGATGCAGTCATGCCAAAAATACGGGGAAGTCTGGATGCATCCATGTTGTAAAATATCTACAGCGTCCATAGCTAAAAAATTAGCAACATAAACATTCAAACTGATATCTTAGATACATACCAAGAATCCACGATTATTCTAAGTGAATTACTTTCATAATTTCAGCATAAGGATGGCTGCTTTCAAGTTGTGCATAATGACATTCATCAAATATCAGAAGGGCAACCAGTTCAATCTTGATAAAACAGTGTGACAGGCTATGTAGCATTATCTGAGGGGTCATAACAAGGACCTGCACATGGAGAGAAAATTGTTATGAAATAATACATGTCGACATTCACCAAAGTTCTAACTGAACATACAAGAGATTCAGTTTGCAAGGCCTCCACATAAGACATTAGTTCTAAATTCACATCATAAAAAAGGCAAAAATAAAAGTAAACAAAGAATCAGCATCAAGAGAAAAGCACTAAACAATGTAAACTGAATGAACCTAAGGGCACAGTCATTTGGATAAGCAGGAAGAACATGAAATATAGGGCACGTAAATTGAGAAATAGTGCTCTTAAAGCCTCATAGTTAAACTCACTACTAATTCAACCAACCTCATGTTCCTCAATTTCTTTTTCCCAGTCATGGCGGCTCTTGAAATGAGTTGAACTTCCACAATAGGTCCCAACATTAAGATCAAGAGAATTTTCGAGGACCTTGGCTTGCTTTTGGAAGAAAAGGGTGAGGGAGGAACATTAGAAACAACTAAGTTCAGCTAACTTAAAAAAAAAAAGAAAAAAAAAAAAAAAAAAAAAAAAAAAAAAAAAAAAAAAAAAAAAAAAAAAAAAAAGAAAAAAGAAAAAAAAAAAGAACATAGCTAAGATACATATTTGGATAAAACAAACAAGATGAGGCTGATCTTTCATTAAACTCTAGACAATTTATACGAGAGATGCAATTTAAATTATAAGGGAGTATATGTTAATATTTACACAACAGGTAATTGAGTAAAATATCTGGCATGAATGTGGTACCAGCATTTAAATGGTGAGTAAAATATCTGGCAAGAATGTGCTACCAGCATCTAACTGGTTTCTAATTCACCAAATAACAGAACTGGGTTCAAATCAATTTTCCAAGACCTTGACTTGCTTTTGAAAGAAAAATAGGAGGAAGGAAATAAAAGAAAAACTAACTGAGTTCAGCTGGCTTAACTCAGAAATTATGAAAACAACACAGATAACTGGGATATCTTATGAAACAATAAATAAGATGGAGTTGACTGTTCTTTTAATTAAACTCAAGACAATTTATAAGCGAGACACAATTTAAACTGACAGAGAGTACATGTGAAAATACACACAACATATACAATAGGTATTAGGGTAAAATACAGCAGTAAAATATATTCACCTTCACTAAATAACAGAACTTTGTAATAATAAAATCCTTGCAAAAATTTGAGATAGTGGTGAGAAAATCTTTTTTCAAGTCCCATCTTACACTTACACGTGACAGTATCCTGACTCTAAGAATAGAATTTATGTTTTAAAAAGTGGCCCATGCATTTTCACACAACAGTATTAAACTAACAGGGGAATGTAGAAAAGGGAAAAAACCTGTTGAACCAGAGCAACTGTTGGAGCAAGAAAAATGCACAAGTTCTTTTGAGGCCTCTTAATTAGGTGTCGCATCTCATAAATAAGTAAAACCGCAATATGGGTTTTTCCACAACCTGTCTCCAAATAGACAACAACATTCTCATCCAAGGCCTTCTTGCAAAGGTCAATCTGATACCTGTATTAAATTTAAGAAGTCGTCAATATGCTCAATGTCACCCTCCGTTTGGGATAATGAGTTCAATAGAAAGGATCATACATTCATGAAGTGGTGATAAAAATATCGCAACTACGGTAACATAATTCCACATATAAACCAAATTCACAGTAATCTATAGAAGAAGCTTCTACGTCTAAATTTAGTTCTAAGAAAAAAAAAATCTCAGACTTCAGAAATAAATCAGTTTCAACTACGACCAAGCAAAGAAGATTATTACAAATTACTTTGAAAACAGTAATCCTCCCAGAAGATCTTCAAGCATTAGCCAAAGGTGGCAATTTGCTTGTTTGGTCATAGTGCTTTTATAAAGAAAAGTGCAAAAATGCTGTTCAACAATAAATTTCAGTGCAACCGCACATGAGATGAAACTGTAATCAAGACAATTTTTTTAGAAACAAGGATCTTATAAAACTAAAAGAAGATAACAGCAAGTGGATAAGATATCCACTAAGATTGACACAAACTTAAAACATCACAGAGCTGGCCTCTAATCTCTAACTAAGTCAGAAACAAAAGGTGCTTATATTCATGGTGCACGATAACCCATAAGACGACCCTACATTCTATCACTGACTCTTTAATCTTTAGAAATTAACAACATGGACAGTTGTTCTCCCTAAAACACTTCCTTCAAAACCCAAATACCATCCAAGATCAATTGTGTAATGATCCAAGCAAAACCGCAGATATACCTACACCAATCCAAGCTAGCTTAGGATCATGGACCATAGTTGTGAAACTATCACAATTTTGATTATGATTATTCAGACAAGGATCTTTTTTAAGTAGAATAGCAATTATTTATGATTGGCAATTTGATAAAAAGGTGGGAGTCAAGATAGTGTATTTCTATTATAAAAGCATGATGGTGACAGCAAATGTGATGTTTTTTCCGTAATTTAATTTATAATTGGACATGATTTAATGGCAGAAAAATAAGAGGAGAAATGTACTTTTCCAAAATTATTCTTATAAACAGCATCTCAAGATAATAGGGAGATACCTTATGAAAATTTTGCACAATTTCTTATGAGGAAATCAGCAAAAATCTTTCTCACTTCTTCTAAACAAATATAACTGAAATTCACATTAAGATCACCTCGATATGATCATTAATACAATTAAACTGAAATTTCTCATTTCACGAGCTAGAAATATCATAATGCCTATCTGCTGCCGAAGTAGCTGTGAACGCTCAGAGTAAACTGTCTTTGCACCTTGCAAAAGATGGACAAAGGGAGCTTCACTTTTTTTCATTTCCTTTTGATATATAATCGGAAAGAGTAGATGATGCAGAAGAATAAGTAAGTCCGAAAAAATCAAAAGTCACCACTTCACAAAGATTTTTTAAGATTGAGATGCACCAAACGAGTTCCTCTAGCAGGCACACAAATCAAATTAGCTCAGACAAGTGCAGAGTACAAGGAATACAGAAGTGACAAAACTTTAGTGCTGTAATTTCGGGCTTTGGGTCCTATCCAGCAATCTTGAAAGACCTATTTCATTCACATTTATTCTGATTTAAGTCAAACAATTCTTTCATTAACCAGGGAATCAAAATTATCATGTTTTTTTTTTCGATTTTCTGTAACTACATTCCAAAGTGTAAATACAATCTGCAGTCAGCAATTGTTAAGCCCTAATGTATTTATGATCAGTGACATGGTTCTTCTTTTTTGTGCTGCTCCTATCACCCATATTTTCTGGGTCTACACGCATTTATCAGGTTGACTTCATAGGAGTGGACCACCATACCGTGAATTGATGGATTTATTAGGCACGTTTGCTTTCACATGCTAACATATGTGCATACATATTTGATTTGATCACTTAATTTATGAAATAATGACACTTTAATTTATGAAATAAACAGATTGGGTATGATCAGATTCTTGACAACCATCATAGAAGTCCTCCACAATCAACATCCAAACTCAGGGAGAGAGAGAGAGAGAGAGGAGAGCATTTACTCCCATGAAACAATGATTGTACGAAGTGCTTTAGTGATTATACGATGACCTGGTACCACAAATACTTTCTCTAGGCTCTAGAATTCCCAGTTTTACTCGAACAAAATATTAACAGTAAAATCGAGGAAAAACAAAAAAAAAAAAAAAACACGAAGAAGATCGAAGAAGCAAATGCAGCTGCACGATTATCAAAAAAATTACAGAGAAAAAGTGTGTGTGCTTACTTCCTAGCAATTATTGTGGGGTCTTTCTCTGGAATCGGCTGTTGCTCGCCGGCAGTGAGGGACAGAGATGAGAGCCGCTCCGAAATCTCATTATCGGCGGGATCACTTTGGTGAGGGGTCGTGCTGACGCCGGCGTCCATGTCTGTGCTCACGGCGGCAGTCTACGGAGTAGCAGAAGTAAATTGACTTGTGTATGACCCAAGTCGACGCCGGTTTTTGCCTTTTCTGGGAGATTGCGTGAGAAGAGAGGTTTTTCTGGTCCTCACGGGTGAAGATTCCTCACGGGTTATTATAACTTTATATCCGTACTACGATACACCACTAAATACTTGTATATATATAATCTCATAAACAAAACTTCTCTTTCGCTCACGTACTACTTCAACTTAAAATATTTTT